ACTTTTAAGTTTTTTGTTTTTGGTGAAAGAAGGAGTGAAGCTTTAAGTCACAGACATACCCTTCTAGATATATACTAAAGTATAAGTAGTAACATTAAAAGAAAAAAGGATAAATAGTAAGAAATAGTTGTAATATTGGGCAGGAGGACATTGTCAGATTGTTAGTAAAAGAAAAGAAAAATGGGTGACATAGTTGTCTGAACAGAATAATTACTTTGTAAGAAGATTTTGCAGTTCCTCAAAAGCCATGCATAGTGCATGTTAATATGTACCTTTTAGATTCAGTTTCATCACTTTTGCCTTAGAAGGGACGTGAAGGCAACATGGCCAAAATCAATGTATGGTAGAGGCTACCCCCACTCTTAATTTCATTATCTCTTTTATACCAAATTACATATTTATTTTTGTTAATATCTAATATAACTATATATTTAAAATTAAAATTCAGAATCATTAATTAAATTAGAATAATTTAAGTACATATCAATTGATTAAGAAGCTGATGATCACTCTGTGATAATTCATTATGTTGTTTTTTGTGAAATATTAGATGCAAAAACTTAATAAGAAATGGACAAGAGTGCCAACTGCATGAATTATTCAAAATCTGCCTCCACTATACAAAGGTCACCATCACCACTGAACTTTGACTTATCAATTAAAAATTTGAAGAAATTAGAAAATTAGTGAGATGAATTGGTACACGCTGTAATGTACTTTATCTCAAGTATGAAATGAAGTTCAAAGTTTTAGTTGATGGTGTGTGTGGCCCTCATGAAAAACTAAGAGTTAGTGGACAAAATCATAACTATTAACAAATGGGTCATGTCATTTTCAACAAGACCAAGGGCATATGGTTATCCTTTGTTTTCTATGTAAAGTTATGCATTATGGTCTCAAATATAAATGTATTAACTAATTTACCCTTTCCGGATAATGCAAGCATGACTAGTATTTTATGCTTTGCAATTATTGTAGGGACCAATAGCCCCCACACCAAAATATTGGTCCTATGCAAATTGGATCACTTATTCATTCTCTCCCTCTAGCCACTAGTATATAATTGGATCTCATTGATGTGATTTTTTTAGGAAACAATATTGACATAATGACACTCTTGGTAATTTTTTAAAATTTCACATTATATTTGTAAATTTTCATTCTTATAATATTTTTTTTTCATCCATTTGAAACTTATATTATATCAATCATCAAATGGGTGAATCAACTTATGTAAGATTGTTATAATTTAAGGTATAATATCAAGTTTAGTTATGACTCATGAATATGAAATAATGTTAAATACTCATAATGTAAAATTTATAAATTATGAATCAAAAGAAAAATATTTAAGTTTGCAATAAAAATATAACTTAATTGAAACAAATAAATCCAAATATGAGTAACATTTAGAAGAAAAGAGGAATTTTGAAGGAACCATTTTTTTTTATTTATAAAAATGATAAGGATTTTTATTACTATGAACAGAGGAACAAGAAATGCCTCAGAACAACATAAATACATTCTTAAAAAAGAAAAGCAACCATGGTCATCCTTTACATAAAAAAAAAATACCTCCCCCAATTTGAGAATATATATATAGATAGTTGGAAATTGATGACAAAAAATAAATAAATGAAAAATTAAAGCATAATTAAAATTCAACTTAAAAAAAGAAAATAAAATCTTGATTAATATAAAATATAAATAATTTAAAAAAGATTAAATATATTTAATAATGACAAAATCATATATAAGAAAAAAATAAAATATAATAATAACATTTTCACATTCAAAAATAAAAACTAAAAATTTATAATATGCAACTTCGTAGGCTGATATTAGTAAATGACTGTATTAATTATAACAATTAATTAATGAAATACATTCATATAAAATATATTAAATTGCTTATAACAAAATAATTTTTTTAATAATTTTAAGGGTAAATTTCAAATAATTATGCCTCTATAAAAAGAAGAAAAAAATGCTCTAAACATTACGATAACCGAATAATAAAGAACTGTCTTATTTGAACCACTATATCCTATTAAATTTATTAATACCATTATCTTCTTGGTTCTCTTTCTTTCTATTTTTCTTTTTTTAACTGGACCCAAAACATTCTTTTATTATTTTTATGGTCTAATATTCTAGATCCTATATATGTATTGCTTCACTTGCCGTCTACGTTAAACTTGAAATCATTTACGGGTGGTAGACCAAGGAAATGACATTCTCGTACATGTCGATTAGATTTGTTCTTACTATTTATTTATTTTACTCTATGCTCATTGCTTCAAGCACTAATAACTTCATAGTTCATACTAAATTTGACTCATTTTGCTATATATGGGTGATGGAATCATAGAGTTTGATTTGATCAAAAGAATAGTTAAATTAGTGAAATCAATTATATATAGTATGTTTGGAATTTGGATATTATATACCAGTTTTAAATCACATTCAATAATATATATATATATATATATATATATATATTATTGAATGTGATTTAAAACTGGTATATAATATCCAAATTCCAAACATACTATATATAATTGATTTCACTAATTTAACTATTCTTTTGATCAAATCAAACTCTATGATTCCATCACCCATATATAATATATATATTAATATATAAAAAATTAAAAATTTATGAGTGTAATTTTTTTTTTCAATTTTAATTTGAACTGATTTCCAAATACATAAATTATGTTTGGAAACTTAAGAAATCTCACTTTCCCATGCACAAAAACATTAAAAAAATTAACTTTTATAACTTTTGTTTTAATGTTGGTTTGAGTGACTTGAAATGCCACAAAAAAACACATATAAATTTAACTGTGTTTGGATTATCATTCAACTTGAAAAAAAAAAATAAGTTGAACGTGAAAATTACAAATAATTACTTCTTCATTTGGTGCTTATAAATGTGTGAAATCCTATTTGATACTTAGGATAATTAATTACTTCTACAAATAATTATTTCTCCACCTAAATTTAATTTAGTATATATATATATATTATTTGAAAATCCAATGAAAAGGGTAGAAACATAATAAGCAAAAAATTTAGTTGTTTAACTTCTTATTTCATAACATAATTATATTAAATTTCCAACACTTTGTTATTATATACTTTCATATTAAAAAAAAATTACATGAGTGAACATGTTAAGCTGTCCACAAAAGCTCTTATCAATCACAAGTTTTGAGTCTTAGAAAAAAGTAAATAAAGTGATTTTATTCAAGGATTGAGTTTTAGAAAAAGTAAATAATATGATTTTATTTTAGATTCTTCTTATAACAATTTTGAAATAAAATCACATAGATTTAATTTTTGTGAGATAATGTATTTTAAAATATAAAATACACTTACAATTATGGATTATAAAATCAACTATTAAAATTTATGATAAATATAATATTAATTATTAATTTTTTAATTAATAATTATTATTACACCTTATTCTTAAAAGTATAGTATAATTTATCGTTATTGAGAAGTTAAATCGAAATCACATGTGAATAACATATTAGTATATAAGATACAACATAATTTTTTTAATAATAATATTTGCAATCAAACATATTAATATTTGAGAAAATAAGATACGCATTAAAAATGTAACCATCATTTAGTCACAAATTAGTTTTTTTTTCTTCTTTTTACTCCAACACTTTGTTATTATATAATTTTATATTAAAAAAAACAAAATGACACGAGTGAATATGGTAAGCTGGTATTTTCATAAAATTTTTTTAAAAGTTCAATCATGTTCTAGACATGTGTAACGAAAATAAAAATAGAATTTTATTAATGCATATAAGATAGATTGAATCTTGAACATACATCTTATTCCCAACACTTTTATCAATCATAATATTTGAGTTTAAGAAAAAGTAAATCAAACACTCAAAAGAAAGAAAAAGTAAATCATGTAATTTTATTTTTGGATTGAGTTTTACAAAAAGTAAACAATGCGATTTTCGGTCTGAATATTATCATTAATATAACTTCTATTGATAAATTACAAAAGTCAACCAATAAATGCTTTTTTTTTTTTCACTATCAATGTATGATTTATATTTTTTTTTATCAATATAAATTACCATAATAAAATTTAAATATATAATTCTGTCCATATTATTTCGATCTTTTACAGACCAATTTTTATAGTTTTCTTCATTTATATTTCAGGTTCTTTTTATATATATTTTTAGAAATGATCATGTAATAAAACCACATGAGTAAATCACAAATAATGTAAAAAAGAAAAATTTAATAACAGGATTTGAGTCAAACATGTTAGTATTTGAGAAAATAAAACATGTACTAAAAGTGTAACCATGATTAACTGATTTAGTCAGAAATTAGTATTTTTCTATTGACTTTTATAAATAATAAATAATATTTAAAGAAAAAGGAAGACCTAGTTTGGTAATTTGGCATGAGTTGTTACAGCTCATTTCAGTAACCCAATACAACTGCCAGCTTTATTCATTCCCACTCACTCCAACATCCACTCTCTATCAACCCTTTATAATAAATTTAATTTAATTTAATTATTAATGACAGATACATATATATATATATATATATATATATTTTAATTTTTTAATTGGTGGCTAAAAATTAAAATAATATCCCTTACCCTATCAGATCCGAACAGTTTTGTGAATGTTTCAGTACTGACTTGACGCCTCTCACCCCTCACCTGAAAGATTTGAATTTCTGAACACACAACACAATCATCATCACCTACTACCACCACAAAACAACAACAAAATTTCAAATTTATCTTATTTTATTTCGTTCTAGAGGAAGAAGAACATCACAAAAAAAAATTATAACCAATTAAAAACCATTTTCTTTCTTTTTTTAATTTAGTTTTAACAATCGATCAACAGAAAAAAAAAAAAATCAGTACAACAACGACATCAACAGCAATTTTCACAAATTGTTCCTGGTTTTGGTTATTCCTCGTCCTTCCCTCTTTCTCTCTCTCTCACAAGAGCTTTATTTTTATTTCTCTCACAAACACAGCACAACACCTTAACTTCTTTCTTCTTCTTCTTCTTCTCAACACTGTTTAAACGTTGTAACTAACGTTCTAGTTATGGAAACCCGTGTTTCACCTCTTTGATTTCGTGAGAACCATTGATTGATTCATGCAACGAGTTTGAAACAAATTTTCAGTTCTCCTCGTTTTCTATAACTTATTTTTTCTTCTCCAAATTTTTTGCACCAGTTTGTGGGGGGTTGACCTATAAGGCAGTGTTTGGGGGCTGAAATCTCAAAAGGGTGTCTTCAATTTCGCGGCTTTGGGCAATGCAGCGGCGAAACTCGAAGTGGGGGTGGTGAGTTTTCAATTGGGTCGCGAATTTAGGGGCAAAGTTGATAAATTTCGGTGGTTTTCGTTGGTGGGGTGTGGCCAATTATGGTGTTATCGGCTTCGCCATGTTCCTTGGCGAGAAGCTCGCTGGAGGAGATGCTCGATTCGCTTCGCCGGAGGGATGAGGAGGAAGAGAAGAAGAAGGACTTGCCGCCGGCATTGCCTGCGAGGCCAACCTCCCGGGCACGGCTTCCTCCGGCGCGGCGGTCGCTGCCGAACAACTTTAAGGTCGGCGGCAGCGAGCCTGTCGCGCCGGATAATGTAGATAGTTCCAATGAGGAGAGAGATTTGGGGCTGAAGAGGAGAAGGGGTGGTTTTGGGAGCATGAGGGTGAAGAAAGATGTGGACTCTCCTTATGTGGCACATTCTTCCACTGCTTCATCAGGGGTGGTTTGGGAATTGGAGGGTGATGACAGCATTTCTTATTTCATAAAGAAGGTAACTGGTAACTGGGAAGCATATTGATTGAATCCTGGTTTTTAATTGTGTGAAGTGTGCTGTTGCATTAAAGGCTAAATGCATGTTCAGAAACAGTTATTTCTAGAAAAGAAATTGTTCATTTTTTGAAAGAATTCGAGAAGTTGAGCAAAATGAGTGATTATTAAGTGATGTTGCGATAAAAGACTTGAAGAATTTGATAAAAATGAGTGATTATAAAGGCACACTGTCTAAAATGGTTCTTATCTCACTTCTTTTATTCTCTCTTTTGGCTTTTGATTAATTGCTTCTTGTTGCCCGGAGCCTTTCTGTTGGCTGGTTGTTTTAGAAGTATTTTTGATTGAAATGTATTGAATTTCCTTTTAAAATTCACCTTGGGGGAGAAAGATTTTGTTTGTGATTATTGTGTATTTAGAGGTATGAAATGAGCGTTGTATTTGTAGTTGTTGTTCAGTCTTTTTGTGATTGGTTTAGACTAGACATTGTTAGTGGTACTTGATGTGCTTTTCTGTTGAATTTGCTTTTGGTTTTTGGTTGTTTCCCCCAGAGGCTTCATATTTGGTGTAGGCAACCAAGAGGGCAGTGGGAACTAGGAACGATACAGTCAACTTCAGCAGAGGAAGCATCTGTTTCACTCTCAAATGGAAATGTAAGTCTATGCTTTTTGAGTCTTTGGAAGATAGTGGGTGTAATTTTGAGTATGTAAGGTAACACAGGCTGTTCGTGTCATTAACTTGTTACTCCAGGTTATGAAAGTAGCGAGATCAGAGATCCAACCAGCTAATCCTGATTTTTTGGACGGTGTGGATGATCTTATCAAACTTGGTTATTTGAACGAGCCATCAGTTCTTCACAATCTTAAGTGTAGATATTCTCAAGGGATGGTTTATGTATGTATGCATGCTCTGGTTTTTTTCTTCTGAGTAATGCTAAATCCTCCTACAATATCTTCCTATCAATCCTTCTATATATGAAGAAGGTATTGATTCTTAAATGAAAAAGTAAATGCATTTAATCTCTTCAAAACATATAAAACATACAATTCCTTATTTAATAAGTAGGAGGATTAATGGGAAGGTGTTGCAGGTGGTTTAATTATTGTTATTTTCCTTTAGTTAGGTGATCATCTATATTCTCTTATGTGCCACTTGTGCTTTCATGTGTGTAGAGCAAAGCAGGTCCCATTTTAATTGCACTTAATCCTTTCAAAGAACTTCAGATGAATGGAAATGATAATGTCTCGGCTTATAGGCAGAGATTTCTTGATAGCCCTCATGTTTATGTTATGGCAGATGCAGCTTATAACAAGATGATGAGATGTGAATGAAATTCTTCCTTTCTTTCTCCTCCTTTGCAATGTTTGTGCTGTACTTGAATGAGACATTTATAATGGTTTTCTTTTTGTATCTTGCAGATGAAGTAAATCAGTCCATTATCATAAGGTCAGCTTCTTACTGCCGTTAGAGGCTTTGTTTTGTGCATGACACTTAATATATGTTCCTGCAATCAATAGCATTGGATTGTCATAGTGATAATAAGATATATGCTTTCTGGTGTGCTTATTAATAATCATTGTTAGAAATTTGTTTGCAGTGGTGAGAGTGGATCTGGGAAGACAGAAACCGCTAAAGTTGCATTGCAATACTTAGCTGCACTTGGTGGTGATGGCAGTGGTGCGATAGAAAATAAATTTCTTCAGATAAATCGTATACTGGAAGCTTTTGGGCATGCAAAAACATTGAGGAATAACAACTCCAGCAGATTTGTGAGTTTATGATTTTTCCCCCAGTATAGTGAAATTTATTCTTGCTATTGTTTTAATATTGAAGGCTATGCAGCACTTTTTGGATCATTCTTAATAGCCGAGCAGTTTAATTGATAAACATTTTAATTTGGTGCAGGGAAAGTTGTTTGAAATTCATTTCAGCTCCATGGGTAAAATATGTGGGGCTAAAATTCAAACCTGTAAGTTTGTTTAAGCTATATATGTTGCTTCAAATGTGCTTGTTTATGATCTTCAATTCTCCATTTCTGTTGCAATTACTGAGTTGGCTTATTTTTATGGCTGTTTTTGTCATATGCCAACCCATATGCTAACTGGAACAGTATTATTGGAAAAGGTAATTCGTGATGCCCTATTTGAACTAAGACAGAAAGTGTTATGCTTGTCTTTTGTCGCTTCTAAAGTAGTCATGTCTATTGTGAGCAGTCCAGAGTTGTTCAACTGGCAAGTGGTGAGAGATCGTATCACATATTTTATCAACTTTGTGCTGGATCTTCATCTGGTCTTAAAGGTATATTTTCTATGCAATCTCTCAACTTGTTTGTATATAATTTTTCTTGTAAGACATTTGCTTTTCTATGTATGTGTTATTTGCAATGTGTTGAAATGACAACAATCATAGTATTAACTTTAAGAGTCAAGTAGCTCACTCTTCTGTTCTTTCTGAAATTGGATTTTAATCTGTGGAAATATAACAGGATTATTATATAAAAAAGTAACTGAAGAAAAAAGTTAGAATTCAATCTTTTATATTAAGTTCACTATATATCACTGTTTTGTGACAACTGAATTGCACAATTACCATCCTTAAGTCTATCTTTAAAATTTAAAATAGGAGTTTGATCCTTGCAGTATTATTTGTATATCTCCTCTGCCCTTTTAAATTCTGTATACTAATTTTATGTGGACATATATTTTTAACACACATTAATTGGCATCAATTTCTGCATTTAAAGTTACATTATCTTTATAGTTTGTTTTATTGATCAATCATAATTGAATTTGTAAATATTTTTTGTCTTATGTAAAATCATTCTCTTTTCCTCTGCAGAGAGACTGAATATTAAAGGAGTCGGTGAATATAAATATCTAGTTCAAAGTGACTTCATGTCGATTGATGGTGTTGATGATTCTAAAAACTTTCATCAGCTGATGGTATATCATTTGAAAATTAGTTTAGTTTACTCTTTAATTTTGTTTATGACCAACGTAATATCTCATATCATTTTCCCCATGGCATCTGTAATTTCCCTAGAAAGCGTTGGATGCTGTTCAAATTTGTAAAGAGGATCAAGAGATGATATTTAAGATTCTTGCTGCAATACTGTGGCTGGGAAATATATTATTCCAAGTAGACAGCAAAAATCATATTGAGGTTGTCGATGATGAAGGTAAGATTCATAGAGCATGTAGCATGCCTTTTGATGGACTGCCTGCACCTTATGCTGTTTTGTGTATGTTAATTTGGTGTCATTAAGTTCTCAAAGCAAACTGGAATTCAGCAGG